AAGGTACTCCTTTTTTAATAAAATTGGGAGACATGTATTGATGCAAAAAAATATAAACTCTTGATTCTGTACAAAAAATCCAATACATTTTGCAGCACTTCAATCAAATTGCAAAAAATATATAAAGCTAGGCTTTCTTTTGTATGCAGAATTAGGTTTGTTCAATACCAAATATATTTTGGAGTACACACTCCACATAGACTAATGATGTTGCCCATAGCAGCAGTAGTATGCCAATTTTCTCAATTTGTTTGCATTGTACACAAACTAAGCAATGTGAAGAGCTCCATAGTATTCTTAAACATAATATTGTTTAGAAGTAACTACATTCAATTATAAGCATTAAGCATGATGGGGATTCATAATCAACTCCACGCATAAATGCTTTAGAGATAAGATATTAGAAATAGAAGCCTGCTCAGAGAGAGAGATAGAGGAATTAAAGAATAAAATAAGTTGAAATGATGCCTTGAGAATGAAACAATTAAAGGCTTCTCATTTGAGGTTTAGAAAGAGTTCAATGACAAAGTCAAAAGGATTTTTGGGTGAATGTTGGAAAATGTTTTAAGCTTAAGAATTTGCGAAAGATGACTAATGTGGAACTACGTAGCATTGACTTAAGAATTAGTGGTGCATGAAGTTTGATTGTGGACAATTAGATCAATTTCCAAAAGAGAGGAGAAACAACTTCCTTTTTATCTTTTGTTTTGAGCAAGATTCACTCTTCTTGGTCCTTGCTTTCCTATTGCCATACATGTTGAAACTATTTGCCACAATATTACTGCTAGATTAACTTATTCTAACATTTACTATTTGATGTCTAATAGTAAATCAATCTGATGGATTACTGACTTTTTGGGTTTCCCTATATCTAGGCTTATAGTTTCTTGGGCATTTACAAAATTAGAGCGGCCCTAAATCACATGTTTAACATATTTAGCATAAGTGATAATTCGTTTCATGGTTAACAAGAAAGGGAGTGTGATATAGCCTTATAGTTTCATAGGCATTTACATAGGTTTGTACTGTTTGACATCAGAGTTAGAAACTTGCTCAAAATTCCATCCACTTTTGTACAACTTTGAGTCATTCTTTTCTATCTTTCGGAGGGCTTCAGGTTGGACTATTTATTTAACATGCTTAGTTTGGAATTTGAAATAATTTTCAGTTTGATGGTGTTGCATTTGGTCTTACTAAATGCATATGCAAGCTTCATAGAATTTCTGACTAACTTTTGTTGCCGACATTGATGTCCAAGGATTCTTCTTCTTAGTAGAGCTTTGCAATCATTATGACCCAAAGAGTTCTATAAAAGCTTAGTTCCCTTTTATCTTTTTCAGATTTGGCAGTTATTATTTGGAGGCCCTAAAAATATGACATACACTCAACCTCCATAATGCTGGAGAGACAAGAAATTAGCGGATGAATTACACTCTCGAGTTTACAGCAGCAATACTATGAGTATTGAGCTGATGTGATCTTAGCCCCTTAAGATATGTCTGAGGTCAGTTTCAATCTAGAATAGGGCATCACTCCGCAGTCACAAGAGCATTTGTTGTCACAATAAATTATTCGAGTTTTCCATTCTTCTGCTTTTGCTTATTTTATTAACTTCGATTTTCCAATCCATTCTCTACTAAACCTATTTGGGTTGGTGATTTGATTTGTTTAGCATGGCTACTAACTAAAAGCTAGATGCTTAATGACATTATCCCTATGTTGCAGTGACACAAATAGACAAAGACACTGCATGTAGTTAGTTAATTCTAAACACACACACACACAAACACAAACACAAGGTAGACTTCTCTGGAATGCGATGCAACATGCATTTATGATACATGTTACATATTATGATCTTAAATCTTAAGATACTCCAGGTTAATACATGAATAGAAAACACAATTGCTCTATGATTTCTATTTGAGAAATGTTGCCTTTCATTGCATTTGCATTTTCATGTCTGGCTTCTCCAGTTCATACGTGCATCACTATCATATATTTTATTTGAGAAAAACTATTTACAGACTATCATTATCACTATCATTTATGCTTCAACTGTCCTTATTTTTTTTTTTTTAGAAAATCATTATCACTATCATATATTTTATTTGAGAAAAACTATTTACAGACTCGAGGATAGACTACTGATATTAATCATTTTATGTTTTTCTACAGATTGCAGATTTCTGGAAAGAAGCTTTGACATTAAGTTCATTACATCATTCAAATGTTGTATCTTTTTATGGTGTAGTCCGTGATGATCCTGATAGGAGTTTAGCAACTGTCACAGAATTCATGGTCAATGTATCTCTTAAGCAATTTTTGCAGAAAAAATATAGGTACAAGCTTCATATGATCTTCGTGTAGTTCTGTTTGCTTGCAGTTGCCATATACTATAGGATGTTTATTAGCAGTTTTAACATGTATTTGGCGGATGCCAACTATGTTTAATAGTTAACAACATCTGTTATTAGCAGAACGATTGATCGTCGCAAAAGGCTAATAATTGCAATGGATATTGCATTTGGGATGGAGTACCTGCATGGAAAGAATATTATCCATTTTGATCTTAAGTGTGAGAATTTGTTAGTAAATATGAGAGATCCTCAACAGCCTATTTGCAAGGTAGGGAAAATAGTTTGTCTCAATCTCTGATTTGTGTCTGCAAGCTATATTGCACACCAATCTAATTGTTGACATTGAGGAGATTGGGATAGTTTATGTGCACAAAGTTGTGAAGAGACTTGATAGGGGATATTAGATATTAATTTGTTAATGATGTGACTAACACAATCTTAGGATAAATCGAGTGTTGTGAGAAATAAGTTTGTTTTGATGCTTTACACTTGGATCTACTCCTCTATACTTATAGAAGGATCCTAAGATTCACTATTCATACAAATTAAATACTTCTTTTAGCATGATGAAGATGTTAATTTCTATTTATAATGATTAAATTTAATTTAGCTAATCTTAATAGTGCCTAATTCTATTCATATCCCTAACCCTTACGTTTAAATTTTATTTACGTATTTTTTTGCTTTTTTAATGAAGATTTGGTTGCTAAGTTTTAATAGGTTTTGTTTGTTCGTGTGTTAGGGATTGGAGATTGATTACGTCAGAGATGATGATGGATGGATCGAATCAGATAGTTGACTTGGTTCATCACAGTTATGAAACGGTAATTTTATTTCACTTTTCAATTTTTAGTTTTAAATAAAAATTTTCACACATTTATGCACTGAAAAGATTGACCTTTTATTGTGATATTTCGGTTTCAATTTTTAGTAGTTATTTGATCTTTAGAAATTTGGTTAATGATGACTAGGGATAGTATAACCATGAAGATAAAAGCTAAAGTTTCTAAATTTCGTCAATGATAGTTAAGAATCATTTTTAGAAATTTAGGAGAGCTTTTGTTGAGGAGAAAATGAAGATTTCTTCTGCCACAGTTGGCGAGAGAATGAACTATTGATATGTGCTCAGATCTGAAGATTTCCTCTGTCAAAATTTTGTTCATTTTCTATTTATTTCTCTTTAATATTAATAACAAATCTTTGAAAGGACACATTAATAAAGAGATTATTATACTTAGTTGATGATTTATGATAGTGAATTTTAATATTTGATAATATTTTTTTGGACATGTCAATTATCATATTCTATAATTTTTCTCTTAGAATTAGTGATAGGGAACTTTTATGGTTTTCAGGTGATGGAGAAGGTCGTTAAGAAGATCTCGGAATAGGAATTAGTGATAGGGAACTTTTATGGTTTTCAGGTGATGGAGAAGGTCGTTAAGAAGATCTCGGAATAGGAATTTCCACGTCTAAATAATGCAAGACCCCGTTTAAGCCTGCAATAGTTCTATTTCAGGTTTTGCTCTTATTTTCCTTCTTTTTACTGGCTTTGTTTATTTCCCCCCTAATAATAAATATACAATATTATAATGTTTGTCTTTGAGGCACGATATTAAGATGTTAGTTTGCATTATTTTGTATGATGAAGTAAAATATGCATCAAGAGATAACTCCTTCGTAAAAAATCATGATTGGTTGCCATTCAAGTGACTGACTCATGAATATATGTTATATTGAATGTAAAGTTTTGTTGCTATATTGTTTTATTAGGCCATTATGTGTGAGTTGTTGGAGTAGTATTGTTATATTTGCATCATGAAATATTATTAGGCATCTATTTTTCAAATGCAACTCATTGGAAGTTCTTCATAGTTGCTAGCTGTAGGAATCAGTTTGTATAAAAATAAAATTGAGATCAAACAACTTTAACGAATTGTAGAAAAGAGGCGAGGGTCGTGCTTGGCACGGGGTACATACTAGTTTTAATATAAAGTAAAATAATATTTATATTATAATAATATACTAAATAATATGCTAAACCAATTGGATAAGTTAATTTAGAAGTAATTAATAGATAAAATTATATTTTAATAAGGTGCCACATTATCAATTATTCCACATGAATTGTCAAATCAAAGACGCAAATTATATCACTATCCCATTTTATCCCATTTTACCCCACTCAAAATATGCCAAAGGGGTAAATTCAATGGAATAATTTTCCCACTTGTCCCAATTTGTCCCAACCAATAACCCCCCCTAGCTCGCATACTACCAAGAACCGCATCCTCCGAAATACTTTATTATGAGGATGATCCATTATACGAGAAAACAAAAAATTGTTATGAATTATGTAAGACCCATGAACTTGTGCTCATAACCGCACAAAGCACGTATATAAAACAATTAGGAATGTACTCGTTGTATTCATATTATGATACTCTTCGTAGTTTTACCATGCGGATAATCCTATCCAACATCATGATATTCAAATCACACGATCTGAGCTCTCAATAACCACAACATATAGATGAAGCTAAAATTTGCCTAAGGAAAGACATTATCTTTCCTGAACACAAAGAACAAATGAAAATTGTTTGAAGCTACACATAATGAAGCAATGAACTAGCACAGAGATATAGAAGCAAAACCCTAATATTGGGGGAACAAACTCGGGGGTAATATAAAAACACGATAACCGGATAACTTGTTTCAAGAACAGAAAACTAGAACTGACCTACAAATACATGTATACAGTTTCTATGATCAAACTTCCACATGTAAAACCTCAAGAGAACAATAATTCTAGTCTTCCAAGATATCATAATGGGCTGCCCCTAATAAAAATGAATGATACATGTAATAACAAGGGTAAATTATCAAGAGTCCAATAGCATCAGAGCGCAGCATACGAACACTGGACTCAAGAAGTAAGACACAAAACTTCCAACTTAAACTGGACTCAGGGAGTAGACACAAAACTTCCAACTTAATTCGTCTTTGACTTGTGAACCTTCTTCTTGGGTTGTCGCCTTGGCATTGAGTTCTTCATCCCCAGATAGAAGAGCAGTGAACCAAAGAGAGCCAAGTTCTATGCAAAAGAGCACAAGAAAACTATTTGATATTCTATTTGGGCTAATGTAATAGCTGGAGTATGGAAAGGAAAGAATCAAACCTGTGTGAATTTGATGAAAAGTTGAACAAATTCTGGCTTCTCCATGTCATAGTTGTAAAAATCGTACACGATAGGCGTAATAAATGCCAAATAAAACAGCTGATAAAAAAGACAAACACAGATCATTGCAAGAAGTTATACAGGAAGAGATTCAAGAAGTCCACTTGTGATAGCAAAGCCTACAACCCAAAATGTATAGCCTAATAATTTCATGTGCAGATCGAGATGTTGTTCGTGATTTAGCAAAAGGGTAACACAAAAAGATTAAGAAAAACAAAAGTAAACTTCATTTTTTTATGTATACCCCTTAAATCATGCATATTTGCAGAACTAAACCCCAAATCTTAGAATTTGCAAAACCAACCCCAAATTATCAACTTTGGGAGGAAAAAACTACCCCCAATCAACAAATCACCAACTTTGATAGGCTAAAATTTTAACTGCAATAAAAGAATATTCAACAAATTAGTCATAATTATACTCCCATATCCAACAAAGCTGAAGATTTGTTGTTTTTTTTGGGGGGTGGGGTGGGGTGGGGGTGGGGTGTTTTGCAAATACTGAGATTTGAGAGGTAATTTCTCAAATTACGCATGATTTAAGGGGTATATAACACGAAAAACATTTTGTTTGTCAAATAAATGATAACACAGTTTAGAGTCATGAGGCTACAAATTGAAAAACGTACAAGTTGGGAACAAGCAAGAAAGCCATACCAGGAGGTAAGCTCCAAACGAGCTGCTGAAAATGAACAGTAGGCCCCCAAGTCCTTTCAGTCCTATCGTGGTGGCAATAGCATGTCTCATCTGAATAATAAATGAAGACAAGATATCTAAATATCATATATCATGGAAATATTTTAAGCTATACAACACACAAGAAATAAATAAAAAAATCACATATATTTTTTACCTCAATATGAGGTGGGACTACGAAACCGTGGGAAGCTAAATGCTCTATGAAGAGGTTGAATTTGGGCTTCAACGCTTTTGCTGCAGGTCCACCATCAGTACCAAATTCAGTAAACCTATGAAAATCAGGCATATAATCAGCACATTGTTACAATATTGTGATCAGAGAAAATAAACGAAATTCCAGAAGGCATTCCCAAATAAACTCCAGGAAGATCTTGCATCTGAGACTATCCCATGTCAACAGAAAAAACAAACAGATAAACCTTATCACCTAAATATGACAGCCAAGAATTTATACATATTTAAAAAGCAATTCGATGTAAAAAAGGTAGGCGTCATATAGAAAAAACGCACAAAATGTGCATCTCAGACGCCTATTTGAAACAGATCCCACATGTAACTTCTAGCTGGAGGATGCTGAAATTAGTAGGTAATAATGTAGTCCACCCTAGAAGAGGAAATGCAGGCACCACCCAGGCAAAATGTGCATCAAGCTTGTCTAGCCTAAAACCCAATGCAAATTAGGTTGTATTAAATGGCTTCAACAAACTGCTATAAACATAAGTGAACAGATCTGAGAGAACATGCAATTCCAAAACAATATAAAAAGAGGAAACTTACTCTAATTGAGATGCTTGAGGATTTAGCAAAAAAAAAACTTAATCTACATCAAAATTAATATTGATGTTTAAGTCTGCAGACTCTCGTTTTCGTATCTGCTAACTAGAAAAAATTTGGGTCTGCCATAACATCGTCCTGTCAACATATCATGAAATTAAATAAAAGATCACATTTTCTCATCCAAAACAACAAGAAACCATTAAGAAATACAGAAAGATTTGTCAACTAAAAATATCCTACAAAGAAATTAAGGAAACTTAGAGAAGTTTGGCCATGAATATTCTATCATAAGAACAGCAAGATCATGAAAACAAAATTATGTCAAGTATACGATACTCGTGGATCCTATACATAGGTGAAGACTAGCACTCATAAATTAGAAATTTTTTGGAAAACATAAGACTATCCATATCCCAGGAACAAGGTAACTATTGAACCAAGACATCACCTAAAAAGATGGTGATTCATACACAACATTATTTCGCATAAAGAACTAAAAATGACTGAGACTAAACTTTTTGAGAAAATCCCATGATAGGTGGCAAACCATGAAAAAATACTATGTCCCGTCAACTTATTTACTGCAATTTTCTGTACAATGTAGAATAAAAGAAACAAATTAATAAAATGTCAATTTATAAAGAACTGGATTCCTTTAAGCAAACCTCTTGATGGACTGCAAATAAACCTATGAGTCAGCTTAACTCTCCTTCAATAACAGGTAAAAATATCATTGTCGAACTAAAGCCAACACGGTTTATAGAACTTAAACTTGCCCTATCTACCTAAACAGATTTGTGGTAAAAGAAAAAATTCCCATACAACATGCTTGGCATGATGACATAAAAGATGCATCCAAGAAGGCAAAACATTAAATTCCTTAGAAATTAGAATTACCTTATCGTGTTTGAAATCATGTCACTGATGCAAGGATGTGTAGGAGCACCAGCAGCAATATGAAAGGAAGGCTTCTGGGTGAAAATTTTGGTGGGTTGCAATTGAAGGCCATCCATTTTCAATTCAGTTAGCGGCTATCATCATCCTCAAAAAGTTCCCGCAATGGCACATCAAACACTACTGAGTTGGGTCTAATAGCAAACTTATTCTGAATGGAAAGAGTTGAGGGCCTGTTTGGATTTCATTGGGGGTAGGGGAAGTTAAGGTAAAGCAGGGGAAATAAGAGGTAAAACAAGGGAAAGAAGAGAAAATAAGTAAAGAGAATTCCCTTCCCCTAAGTTCCACCCCAATTTTGGGGGAAACAAATTTTGTTTTGTTACGTGTGAACTTAAGGTAACTAGGGAACACTTCACACTCTAAAGAGTACCCAAACGGGGTGAATGGTTTCCCCTAAGTTCCCTTCTTCCCACATTCCCCTTAATCCAAACAGGCCCTAAACATAGGTCTAGTGAAGGTTGTTGTCTTGACAGTTATGAACATAAATTATGCTATGAACCTAGTTCATAAAATTTCTTCCCAAAAAACATTGAGATTGCTCAATACATATTATTGGCATAGAACCCGTACAGACCGTAGTCTTCAAATGTGGCATAAGGAGGAGGTTCAAACTTCAAAGCTTGTTCTCAATAAACCCAACTATACAAACCAAATAACATCTAAATAGTATACATTAACTCCCTCTTTCAAGTGACAAATGTTTCCATTTATGCCTACCAATTGGCCGATGGTCTAATCAAGCATGAAGCTTGCAGATGAAAACTTTTGGGCAACCCATAAATATGACTTCTGGGTTTAACAGCTACCTTCCATGAGATTAATTCCTCAACAAATTTCTGCTCATGCTAAAGCGTTACACAACTACCATAAGTAACATAATCACACGGACTTTCAAAAATAACAGTTTATAATCATATCCAACTATTATGGAAGCAGTATGTAGATAGATACACATCACGCTCACTACTTTATGCGACTTGAAACGTCCACGTAAGTTGAAATTCTTTAGATAAGCTCACGAATGGTTTTATCAAGCCGGTTCCTTTTTCTATGCAAAGTATAATGAGGGCAATTTTGTCAAGTAACTTCTTCTTACAGACTTATCCTAATGTAGAACTAACTTGCACTCTAACCTTGAACATTAAATAAACACCAAATCAAAGACTTTCAACTGAAAAGGAGGCCAATCCTCCACACTCTTCCTAAACACTCAAAAAATCACCAAAATAACCAACCTTAAACCACAAACTCACAACAATTAACCAAGTAAACAACTCCAATCACGGAAACACACAAAAAAACACCTAGATCTGACAAAAGCAGCATCTCAATCTCTGCTAAGCTACACCATACAGAATCCAACAACTAAAAACTAAGAAGCTCAACACAATCCAGAGCTAAAAACGAGAAATTTCCACATAGAACCAAAACCCTAAACCCTAGCCCAGATCTGAACTAAAACAGAGCAAAAGACCAATGTTTCGAGAAGAGCTCACTCTTGATAAGCAGAGAGAAGGAACACCGAAGCGAAGAGAACTCTCCCAGCGAAGGAAACGAACCCCATTAAAGAAAATTTTCAAGATCTCGATCTCGATCTCGATCTCGATCTCGATCTCCCTCAGAGGACTCAGAATTGGAATTTTGAGAAAGACCTTTCCGGGTCGTATTTACAGCACGCGACTTGGACTTGGTTGCCCCTAGATCCTCGCAGAAATCTCGGTATTGCCACTGGGTTTGAAAGGAGTTTGACTTGAAACTGGACCGTTGGATGATAGAGAAGTTTATTGGACGGTTCAGATGAGGGCAGTATGGGTACAAGATCTTGCCAGGTTCTGCCAATCAACTGTACAATTTGAAGTGCTGGTCTTAATCGATGTGGTCCATTATATACGGGTGGACCCCACCTCGTTATTTGAAATTAGAATTGTCTACTGGTTATGGATGGTGTTCACTCTATGCGGTTGTGCGGAAATGGAGCTGTAAAAATAAATAAAATAATGTTAGGGGCACATCCCCTAACACACCACCAACCACCCTCCTCTCCTATTGTTATAGTAAACCGGGTCCCACATGGGATTTTAAAAATTTTAAAATCCCATGTGAGGCTCGGTTTACTGTAACGCTAGGAGAGAAGGTGTGGTTGGTGGTATGGTAGGGGGGGGGGGCCC